TCATTGTGTCATTGCTATGCCTGATGAAGGGACCCTGTGTGGCCCCGAAAGCGCTTGTGTAACTGACATGAGTTTGCAATAAAATCTACGAACTTTGATCCTATAAGGATTTGGTGTGCTGGTGACGTTTCTGCAATTATCTCCTTGCTCCCCAAGCCCGACTCCATAGAAGTTTCCATGGACTGTACTTATAATGACTAATAAGCCTTAAACAGCATGCAGTTAGAAATAGATGGTTCATTAGTAGGCTGTATCTGTGCTATAAATCAGCAAATGTGGACACACTGTTGACCCAGAGGCATAAAGAAATCATTGGCACGGTTTGCTTGTTATCCATATTTTTTTATTTTTCTGATGGTGATGCCGGTAAGACCTTTACAAAATGCCGTTTTAATACACATTGGCTGGAACAATTTTCATGGCTTATTTTCTCAGAGGATACGATACAGTTACGTGTAAAGTTTGCAATCGGTTCCCCCAAAGTTCTGATGCAAAATGGAAAGACAGCATAAAGCCTCCATTTAAAAGGGAAAACCTTTGTATGGCACGAGAAAAGTAATAAGCGCAAGTAGAATGTTGATAAAGCAAAGGCTAAAAACACCTCTGAAGAGAGACCTTTAGCTGTGTGTGTCAGAAAAATGAGTGCTGCAATATCTGTTGTTGTTATTTTGGTGATATGGGTTAAGTTCCTTTTTTAAAGTGACATTAAACCCTCAGATTTTTTTAACATAAACCAATACTGTAATGTGTGCCTTACTGTAATCTATGGTTGTTTCCCTTCCCTTTGCTGCTCTTTCTTTTAAATCTGTATCTCTTCTCATGCTGGGCAGAACTTCTATTTTGCAGCAGACTACCTTGTCTCTGAAATGGATACATGGTGTCTGTGTGTAGGTTCACAACCTGAGCCAGCACTACATGGAGAGGCTGCAAAGGGAAGTTCTCCCCTAGCATGAGAAGAGATTCGGGTTTAAAAGAAAGAGCAGCAAAGAGAAGGGAAACAACCATGGATTACAGTAAGGCACACATTACAGTATTGGTTTATGTTCAAAACATCTGAGGGTTTAATGTCACTTTAAGCAATTACCCCAGCTTTTGGTTAGATGATTTATAAGCAGCTGCACATTGATAACAACAGAGGCAAAGCTGCCTCTCCTTTTCTCAATTTAATGTGTATTTCCACTTTTGCAGTCAAATTTGAGAAAACCTCATCTGTGTGTTTCTTATATGTTTCCATTCACACAGAAGACCGAAAAATAATAAAAAAATATATTTCTTACCTTTTAGATGTTTTGTTGTAGCAGGCAACATGGCTGAATCCAGGTTTTTCTGTGCACCTCCACAGTGATCTGTATTTATAAAAAGACTAAGGTGGGACATTTGGAGATTGTGTTTCTCTCATTATCTTCATTATCTTTTGAATGCAGAAGCCAGGATTGTAATCCTTTAGTCCCTCACCCCCTCTCAACAGGAAAAATAAGTAGACATGTTAAACCTTCAGCATTTGCATAAATTGAGCTAGGAGGTGTTTTTAACCTGCCCAGAGAGGTGTTAACACAGCATTGTATGTGGCAGACAATAGATGTCCCCCACCTCTGTTCAGGCTTGGCTTCTCCATTTTTACATAAATAGCCTCTTTCACACCTCTTTTAAACCAGGCATCCTCCCTGTCTAGGATGTGTATGTGACTGTCTTCAAAGGAGTGACTGTCAGAGCACAATGAAAACCAGACAAGCAAAAGGTGCTAGTTAAAATATTTATTAAGAACAGTGTGCACAGGAGCAAGCAGAATCATAAACCGGTACAGGCCAAAGTCAGGAGCCGGAGTGGGTAGACGTTCAAGCCAGGTCAGGCACACAGAGATCAGCATCATCAGGAACAAGCCAGGAGCAGGAGCCAGGAAATCAGCGTAATCAAGAACAAGTCAGGAATTCAGTGTTGTCAGAAGCAAGCCAGGAGCAGGAGCCAGAGGAGCACATCAGCCAGGATCGGGTCATACACAGAATCAGGATACTCAGAGCAGCAGGAATGCACTAGCAAGAAGACCACGGAAGGGCAAGGTTCAGACTGGACTGAGTGGTTTATATACAGGGAGTGGGGTGACATCATCACTCAGAGATGGGAAACTCCCATCTGGCTCTCTCAGATGATGCTCTACTGTCTGGCCATAGGAGGGAGCCTGGAAGTAGTGAGCAACGTTACAGAGTCTGCTCAGGCAAAGGAGAACTCACAGGTGGGTAAAATAGCAGCCAAGCCAGAATGCTGCAACACAGATAAGTCAGGGTGAAACCCTGACAGTGACCTCTTTCCTTTAGATGTAGGTACACTGCTAAATCCTGACCAGAGGGTTTGGCTCTGCTATGCTGTGCCATACGCTGGTGTAGCTGCTGTTTTGTTTCACTGACATACAATTTTGAGCACTCCTCACTGCACTGGACTGCATACACAATGTTGTTCATCTTGTGTTTTGGCGTTGACGCCTTCAAGAAAAATACACCAAGTCCAGTTGCCATGATGTAGTCTTTTTACAGGTATACCATGACCTGGATGAATGAGAACCTTCACAGACTTACAATCATCATGTTTGCAAACAGCTCCAAACAGCTTTCCAAACAGCTCCAACTCTTTTAGCTCCCCTTCCCTAAACTTTCTGTCCTGTATCGAAGGGACAGCACAGTCTTCAGGAGTTATCTATGTAGTAGCTTTTAATAGGGAGAAGGATTTCCTTGCCATCCTGTGTTTGTGGAGACACACACAGCTTACTAAAACACACAAGGGTGGCTCCATAGGACTCTGCAAGGTACCCAGATAGCAAGAAATTGTGCTGCAAGTTTGAAAATGACTAAACTCTTGCAGACTTGCCAAGCTTCACAATTTTGTTGCACAATTACAGCAAGTTTGCATTGCAAGTCTCCAGACCAGCGAGCTTGCAGAGCTCTTGCTAAGACCTGCAGGACTCTTGCTGTAGACTTGCCAAGCAAATTTGCTACAAATTCAAAAAGTGTCAACTAGAACTTGTGCTGCAAGTGTTCTGCAAGTCTACAACTTGCCAGGAATATGTGCAGCAAGTTAACAAAATTACAATTTAACCCCGACACAAGTTTGTGGCAAGTTATCCTTGCTATCTGGGTAATAGAGCCACCCTAAAAATGGATATCAGGGCCAGCTGATTCTGCAGGAAACTAAGAGGGTTATTCACAAAGGTGCCAAAGGCAGCCGTGTAAATAACCAACCCGAAGTGAAGTGAGCTGGACGCTGTTCAGCTATTCACTTCAGGCTTGTACAGCTGATTTCAGCCGTACATCGGTTTGCTTCGGGTCGGCCGAACATGCTCAGTAAGTGTTTTGGACCTGCTCACGAATTTAGATTGGATCAAAAGGTTCCGTACTTATATCTGCCGCCTGGCCTGATTCAATAGAGTATACTCTCACAGAGAGAAAATGAAAATCACACCAACTCCAATGTGTGTAAAATCACTTCTTTATTATTGTTTCGCACTCTTGTGTTTTATATAGACAGCTGATAGTGTATATGTAAACATAGCGTTTGGGATAGCTTTCTAGGTTATAATTGGACTGATTCATTAAAGCGTAACCTCCTTCCAGGGTGCTGACGTCCGTCTTTGGGTGTTGTTTTTCCTGGAGGCGCCATCTTAGTTTCTATTTCTACTGCGTACTTCTCATGGGGGGGGGGAGGGGTGCTAAGTTGAGCAACTAACTAGGCAGCCATTTTGATTAAGAATTAATATGAACAGGAGCAATAACATATATATATATATTATAATGTATATTCAAATAGGCATTTTTATCATAGTCACTTAACCACATCCATTACATATGTTTGGCCAACCCAAAGTGCAGAAGGAGTTTGACTCAACCAATCCAACATCTGTACTATGACAGTACAGCGTCCCCTGGTTACTTGGTAACCAGGGGACGCCGAACTGTCATTACAATGAGAGCTCAGCGGAGCCGGCCATGATATCAAAGCCGGCTCTGCTGAGCTCTCATTGCAACCTGGTAACCAGGGGACGGTGATCTTTCATTGCAAGTGGCCGGAGCCAGCCATGAGATGACGGCTGGCTCCGCCCAGCTGTCAGTAGCAGGCTTTCGGCCAGCCAATGAGCGGCCGTTCGGCCTGCTTCTGCTTTCACCTCGGCTCAGTCGAGCCAAAGCATATGCCTTCGGCTCAACCAACTTCGGGAGCTGTACGGGCTATAGTGAATACTGTACGGGCTCTACTGAACCAAAGGGCTCAGGCGGCTAAAGCTAGCCGAAGGATCAGCCGTAGCCACCTAAAACTTTTAAACATCAAGGGGCAGCATTCACTGTAAGGGATTTCATCAGTATTTGAAACAGCGTAAACACAGTCTAACTGTAATATCACTTTAACATAAAAAATACATTTTTGATGATAGGGGCACTGTAACCAGATTTAATGGTAATATAATTTAGCATTAAATAAGCTTGTCTATCCTGTTTTTCTAGTTATAAATAATGAGCAGCTCCATACAATTCAATGTAATTGTTATAAAGGATTTACATATCCATGAGTTCACATACCTACACTCACACATTCCCTTTATCTATAGCAGACTTGGCCACCCTTATAAAACTAGATTAATAGAGCATGTGTCTCCACACTTGAAGGAAACCTACGACAGAGAGGGAGTCTTTGCGTGCATGCACATGTAAACGTATGCTGTTATATCTCTCTGTCCATGGCTTTATCTATTCATCTACCACTTCACTTTGTAAAGCATACCTAATTTAATTATGTAATTCTAATGTTGTTATATGTCATTTCTTTTTAGAAATATATTACAAAAATTGAAATTGAAATCCTATCTCTATGCCTCTTAGAATGTGACACATAAGCACACAATCCTACACTGTATTCCACAGCTATTTTTCTCTTTACCCAATGGATGTGCTTGTACGTCTCAAAGAGAGACACTAATGACCTGCCTCGCGCATGCCCTTTGTATTTCTTACTCCCCCTCCCCACCAACCCCCTCCTTCTCTTCTTCTCCTGAGCAAGTAGCTTTCTAATTCCATCCATTAATACAAACAGGGGAAACCTGAAAAGCCAGCATCTACAGTATTTGGAAAACACAGATAAAGAGATAGACATAGAGATGCATGATTGATGCACACAATCAGGATTACAAGTCAGCAGCATCAGCACCAGCATATAGTAAACAAGGATGTTGTAGCACAGAGCAGCAATCAGAATGCCTTCATTTGGGATTTTGTCACAGGCAAGTTGGACGGGATATTGGGACTCCTAGCTGGACAGACCGGCTGAAAAGAAAACAACACAAAAAGGTAAGATGCACAATGAAGCGGCGTGACATGAAAACAATGCTTGCATGCTGACACAAGATAAGGTGAAGGAACAAATCCTGCTGTGATTTGGTACACCACAGCATGGAGAAGAGATGTGCTGTGCATGAAACTGTATCTGCTCTGCTTCTATATGGCAAAGGTTTATTACAACATTGGCATATTCACCTGAATTCATGTTACAATGCATGTCCTTTTATTGCCGTGACAAATTATGCAGGATGCTGCAGCCTTGGATACCAGCTAAGATTTATGTACTGTCAAACACCAGCTAATTCAGCTTGGCATTAATAGGTACTAGATTTGCATATATAGCTTTTTTCCCCCTTATTGGACTGGGATCTTTGGAATCTGGAATATGCAGGTTACACCAGCTATTCCCATTGTGCTGTCACTGTTTGGAAAGTAGTGAGGATGATGCATGAAAATCACTGTGTAATTTGAAAACAAAGCATCAGATTTATCAAAGGGATTGATTTTTTTCTGTTTAATTGCTGGGCTGGAAAATAATAATAAAAAAAAAAGAAGGGGTGATGTTGAGGTCATGTGTAGACATGATGACTTATTATTTAATACTACCACAAAGTGTCTGTGAGCTTGTGAAAAAAAACGGGGGGCTGGTGTTGCTTTCATATTCTCATTGGTAACCACATTCCCGGGGGATGGTATGCAATCTGCACAGGGAAATTGTGTTTTTAATGACAGGGGGATGGATGGGATATTTGTGAACATGTGATCATGTAGGAAGCATATGCAGGATTTTCCAGAATTGTAAAAATCTGTATTTTTTTCCCAGCAAATAATCACATAATAAAATAATAATACATTAAATATATAAATGAATTAGCTACTGAACAGGCTGTCTCTAGATTGTATATGTGTGTGCTTGTATGACTGTGCTAGGGACATTAGTTTGTAAGCTCTTTTGGGAAATGGTTTAGTGAACAGTAGTTTCCAAAGCATTGCATGATATGTCAGTGTTATATGACGAGTATGACATTAATAATAATGTGCTAACAAGAAACCACATTGAATAACAATTTAAATACATTTTAGTGAAAGATAATATGTATTTTTTAAGAGCTAGCCATACATGGGAAAATTGTTAAAATTTGACAATGTGTCAATATTTATGAATTATTATTATTATTATTATTATTTTTATTGTTATGCAGGATTTATATAGTGCATACAGTTTGCGCAGCTATTTACAAAATAAAAGGAGACAGTATGGATACAATACAATTCAAGACATTATCATAATGATCTCATGTGAACAAACTATAATAATGTTTTTTATTTATTTTTTTAATTATGCAATATTAGGATGATCAGTTGTTGTTTAAAGTCGTTTGTTAATTAAATGGCACTGGCAATTTCATCTAAATGATTTCTTGTATTAATAGGATGCATGGAAAATAATCCTCTGCAGAGAATCATTTTCAAACTAGCTGGAAATTCTTTCCACTGAAGGCTCCTATTTTTAGTCATTAGTGACTGTGTTGGTACCAAAATTAGCACAACTCTCATGTTTGTTAAATCTTTGTCAAACAGTAAAAAACAATTCATGTGTATGGCCAGCCTTAGTTGCATCTGCTGTGTATTTATTGAAAGGGAAATGCTCTGTGCTCACTATCTAGAGCACAAACAATAGGAAGGTTAGCGTTGAATGGAGGGGGTGGGTCTAATCTGCTCTCTAACAACTTGGAGGGTCAGCATTTACTTTTGGTGCTTGTTCATGGGCTATAGAACAGATATTTCATAATTTACATCTTTGTGTTCTATGCTATTTTTACTAAACTTTGTTTTAGGATTACAAGATTATGTGTATTTTTGTAATTTATTAAGTGAGTGGCCCATTGCAGCGTAGTGATTTATGAGATGCTATATACCCTATTTGTGAAAATTGAAAACATGTACTCTAGTTACTGTTGTAATTTCTGCACTGGGACCAATTCTCAAGTCAATTATCAGCAATCACATTACAGAAAATGACTATGGATGTAACATGAACAAGCCTGGAAAAAAAGCAGTGCACAGGCACTCTTTTACAGGAGCCTTATTTGAAGTGTCTATTCTAAGTAAAGTTTTGCTGCGATTCATCTTCTCTTATATTTAGTTCACAGATAACAAGTGTAATATGTTTGATATATGCACATGTGGGTTCCAAGATATTGTTTTAAATTGTTTTAAGACCAGTATGTTGTGTAAAAACTCTTTAATTTTTACAAATTAATTTTGTACAAATTGTTGATGTGACTTTTTAAATACATATCTACCTGTGGTAAACTCATTGCTTATGTTAAGAAACATTGGTCCTCGTTTGATGATTGGCCAAAAAACCCCCCCACATTGTTAGCTTTTCTAGATAGGATAGTGATGGTGCTCGCTGGTCACGGTTTTGAAAGCATAAACATTTGGAGATCAATGCTTTTTGGTGCATCTGAAACATGCACTGACCTATGGTAGAGTCTAAATAAGGGACCAATGGGGTAACATCATTGGGTAGGAGTATCCAGTTATATGTGACCAACTACTATTAGATTTAACTTAGAGGGTTATTCACAAAGCTGAAGGCAGCCGAGTGAATAACCAAGCAGAAGTGAAGTAAGCTGAACGCTGTTCGGCTATTCACTTCAGCCTTGTATGGCTGATTTCAGCCGTACATCGGCTAAAATCAGCCGTACATCGGCTGTCTTCGGTCAGCCCTACATGCTCTGCATGTTCGGGTGAGCCGAAGTGCAGAAAGAGTTCAACTCAGCCAATCCAACATCTGGATCGGCTAAGTCGAAGCTCCGGCAGCTCACTCGCTGCCTTTCACCCTTATTCTCATAGGGGCCGAACGGCAGCGAGCGGCATTCGGCTCGGCTATTCTGCTCGGTACCTCCAAGGTAGCGAGCAGAATAGAAAAAAATGTAATAAATAAAAAAATGTTAAAATTGGGAAGGGGGTTTAACACCGCGGATGTCAACTGGTTAAAAAATAAGAAAATACAAAAATTAAAAAAAGTTAAAAAAATAATACAATTATTTTAAAGAAAATATTTTTTTTTTTTTAAAAACGATGCACGCTGACCCGACCGCACACAAATAACTCCCGCCGCATAATGTCAAATCTGACAGATGTCGGCAAAATATAAACAATTAGGCAAAGCTAGCAGTGACATCACCACTAGCTCCGCCCAATTGTTTCCTATTGGCCGGCACCTGCCAGAGTCTTCTAGCAGGTCCCAGCCAATGAATAACAACTCCGCCTAGTTGTTGTTAGCCAGTGAATAGCCCGTACAGCAGCCCTTTGGTTCGACTGAACCAAAGGGCTCAGGTGGCCGACGTATCAGCCAAAGCTACGGCTGGATCCTTCAGCTCAATTCACTATACAGTATAGTCAACCTATACACCTTTAAGTGCTAACATGTCTTATATGTGGTCCTGACTGCTATCTGACCGAACATAATATCAAACCCTGATTATAGCCATATATAGTGGTTGATTTACTAAAAGCAAACAGGCCCTTCACTTTGCAAAGGAATTTTCCCTTAGCTTAGTGAACAAGGTGAAGCTCTTTTGACTTCCATCATCCAATCATGTACAAGCAAAAATACTTTTTTTATTTTCCTTGCACATTATTGGGTATTTTTTGCAAAGTGAAACTTAACACATTTGCCAGGCTAAGGATAACCTACCCTGCAAAGTGCAAATTCCCTTGCAAAGTGAACAGCCTATTTGCCTTTACTGAACCAACCCCATAATATCAAGACCTGAAAAATGGCTGCGTAACAGTGCCACAGTGTATGGCATTTTAAGATAGACATACTGTGTGTATATATATATATATATATATATAGTCATGAAGCTATTGAAAACCAAAGTACAGTGCCACAGTGTATGGCATTTTAAGATAGACATACTGTGTGTATATATATATATATATATATATATAGTCATGAAGCTATTGAAAACCAAAGCTAGAAATTTGGTGTTTTCTTCATTTCAGAGACAAGTTTAGCTTTAAGTCATTTGTAATACTTGCTTTAATATTATTAGAATATACTACTACTACTTTTATGTGACATAATTCTAATGAGGAAACAAACATGAAGCTTAATGAAATAATATTGATCCTACCTCCCCTGCTTCCCAGAAACTCCATATCAAATTCATCTATCACTAAGGGTCAGGCTCAGCAGGTAAGTGTATGTGACAGCCCCATTGATTATTGGGTGTTAGACATGCATTTTTTAACCAGAATGCTTTATTATGCACAGCGTTCATACATTGCTTGGCATCATTTTCATGATTAATGAATAGACAAGGTTTAAATTATATTTTCTACATTTATATGTACTGTATATATCACAAATCTAGAAAATCTATTTTTGTTGGGCAGTAGGGTTGAGTTACCATGTATACCCAAACCTATACTAATAGTCTTGGAGTTATGGCATTTGCCAGAAGGGCTAGGATATCTTGGAGTTTAATGAAACTGCACACATATCTTTAGCCATTTTGTACAGAGTATTCATTTTTGTACTATATGTAGTGATATTACAGTGCCATCAAAACATAAACATTTTTGCTTTACATGGCAAAACATAGCCATATACAGAAATATGGATTGGACCAGAACAGTCTTTTACTTTATACATTCTTTTGGCCCACATCTCACATTCTTCTTATTTTAATGTAATAAATATTAACCTATGCTATATGAAACATTTACACAGATACCTCACATTATTAATGTTAAATTAGACACTGTCACCTTGCCCATGAAGGGTAAAGTGATAGTGTCTCTGCAAGGGGCCCCCCTGATGCCCTTATCCTTTCCCTACCAGTGCTCCCCTACCAATTCTTCCCCCTCCATGGCTGTTTACAATACCCAACACTTCCAGGCATGCAAGAGCATGTGACCTCCTCCCCTGTGACAGTACTTGGGTCTGTCAGCCAGTTGCTAGGCCCGAATACTGTCATATTCCTAAGTG